CCCGCCCGCATCCTCCCTGGCTCCGCATTGGCGGCCGGGCTGCTGCGGTTGTCGTGGGGTAGATGGGGCAGCCGAATAATCGGTGGGTTGTTGATGGAAAAAAGGGGAAATAGCGCTTTTTTAGTTCTGCACTGTTTGTGAAGTGGGGCTGTTAACGGAGGCAACGAATGTTGAGTGTTTCGGCCCAATCCTTAGGCGGGCTTAACCTGTTAAATACAGCTTTCACCAGTATTTCCCAAACCTAAGAGTGCTGATCCTTCCGATTTCTAGAATGCAACTTACTTTATCGTGGATTTTGTCTGTTTGGGTTTTAGGTTCCCCCTGAAGGATTCAAAGCGTCTGATTCAGTGGCTAAAAGCCGTTCAGAGAGACAACTGGACTCCCACCAAGTATTCCTTTCTCTGCAGTGAGCACTTCACCAAAGACAGTTTTTCTAAGCGGCTGGAAGACCAGCACCGGTTGCTGAAGCCCACTGCTGTCCCTACTATCTTCCAGCTTGCAGAGAAAAAACACGACAACCTGGATTATGTCAGGAGCAGAAGAAGAATAGCGAGCCAGGTGCCGCTGCAGGATGGAGAAGACCCGAAGGAAGGAGGCTGTGAGGTAGTCCAGCGGACCTCGTCTTCTGGCCAGGACTTCATGGTGATGCAAGGGACAAAGGAGATGGAGGAGGCGACTTTGCAAGCAGAAATTGGATCCATATGTGAGGAGGAAGAGAACCTCTGCAGCCAGCTGGACGGCCCTCGGAGAAGGACGTTAGGTGATAATTTGGTTGGAAAGCCCGGACCTCAGAAAAAGCCCGAGAGATCTTCTGTGGAGGACTGTCCTAAGGCCGCCTGGACGGGGAGCTGGGTAGCAGACAGAAGTGGCGTGTCAGTCGATGACTTCACGCCTCCTGCCTCTGGTGCTTGCAAGTTCATCGGCTCCCTTCATTCTTACAGCTTTTCCTCTAAGCATGCCAGAGAGAGGCCGTCTTTCCCAAAAGAGCAGCTAGAAAGGAAAAGGCCAAAGAGAGACGTGGAACCGAGCTGCAGCAGCCACCTTATGGGACATGATAAGGCTGTAGCGGAAGGCTCCCCTACTTCATCCCTTACTGCGACCCCTCAGAAACCTTCCCAGGGTTTGTCAGCATCCCCAGCAGACCTTACCCCTCAGCCTGCCACTGAGGCTGTGGTGGGGCGGAAGGGGGACACGGATGCCAACCCCATGTCAATCAACGAGGTCATCATGTCGGCCTCGGGAGCTTGCAAGCTCATCGACTCCCTCCACTCGTACTGTTTCTCCTCCAGGCAGAGCAAAAGTCAGGTGTGCTGCTTGCGCGAGCAGGTAGAAAAGAAGAACGGGGAGTTGAAACTTTTGAGGCAGAGGATCAGTCGCTCTGACAGTCAAGTCAGGAAGCTGAAGGAGAAGCTAGATGAGCTGAAGAGGATCAGTTTCCCTTACTTGAACAGCCTCCTATCCCAGGACTGTGGTCAGTATTCCCAGCGGCTTTGCGTTGAGGCAGAGCTTGCCATTTTCTTAGCAATAAGAGGCTGAGTTAGAGGGCGTAAAGATGTGGTGGGTAAAAGATAACGGGAAAGGTACGTTTTTGGAAGGAGACATGTGGTTTAGACCAACAGATAGAGGTGGAAGAATTGGGTCGTTGGGCATGCCAGCTATTTCTCATATCCCAAAAGTTTCCAAGGCGATTTCCTGATGTGGAACGGGGAGTTAGGTCGTGGTGTTGCAGATGACTCTTCTTGATGAATTTTATTATTATTTTTTTCTTCCTGGATTATTTTAACTTGTCGGTGACTCAGTAGCACCTGTTAGGATTCGCCTGCCTTTGGAGTGTGCCTGTGGATTTTTTTTTTTTTTGGTGTGTTAATGAGCTGTCATGGGCAGCAAGTAGCTGGGAAAGCTGTTGTTGTCTTCTCCAGTGATGTAAGAAGTACTTCTGATCTTAGATTTCATATCATCAGTACTTGTGATATATGAAATCTAAGTGAGGTCATAGGTATCAAATATGATAACGTCATGATACACAGTGAGGTCACTTTTTGTGACCGAACGTGTTTGATTCGATCATGTCCTCCCTCAGAAGGCAGAAGAAGACAAGAAACGGATAATAAAGTGGGAAGAGATGGAGAATGATTTCTCTATCAATTAAAAAAAATAAATAAAATTGAGACACCTGAAAATGAAGGGGAACTCAGCGAGGAGCGAGGTCATGTGAAAAGGTTGTTGCGGAGAAAAGTCGAATCAGGCTGTAACCCTTTCTCTTGAAAGAAAAAGGGTGCTTTAACACACAGCTGACAGGGACTGCGGTTGCACAACACAATTCGGGAGGAGAGCTCAGGAGCATCTAACGCTGCTCGATGCTTGCGTGGCTGCAGATGCTGGGTCACATACAAGGGATGCGTGACTTGGGGCTTCCTTGAAGAAGCGCCCGTGGATGGTTAGCTATCCCCGCATGGTGGTAACTCTCGCGTCCATTGTGAGTTTTCTCCTCCTAATGAAGAAACCTCATGAAAAGAAGAAAAATGATAGTGCTTACTGGAATAAAGCCATTAGTAAAACCTCACGGCTTCTTCTAAAGCCACGTGGGGTTCGGCATGGTCAGAAACGTGATACTGGCATAGAAAGACGTGTTCTCCAGATTGTTACAGCACAGCCTACTTCCTCGCTCAAGTGCAAGAAAACAAATCCCAACAAAATTCTAGGAGGGTGATACCCAATGCTACTTTTCCCACATGTTTTTAATTTTCCAGAGTGTGGGAAAACTCATACTTCGACTTGG